TTATATCATCAGACAGGAGGAGACTTAGTACCTATCTTATAATGAATTACTGTCTTTTCACATTAAAAATGACATAGTAGACTGAATATTACGTACTTGGCATATGCCTAAAGCTTTGTAAAATCAGAGCAATCACTAACTGATCTAGAGAAAAGCCTCAGGCCTTGCTTGCCTCTGTCAAGGAGCTTATTTACGCAGCTATCTAAGATGACCAGTAGGTGGCAAGGTACACAAATTCACAAAGCTGCTGCTCTGTCTGAAGAGCTGCAAACTGCGTGAGAAGTACTTAGCCGGAAGCCTGAATGGACTGTGACAGCAAAAGCCATCCCTGTGCTGAAAGATGGCCTCTAGCGTTTCAGCATTTTCATTTTTCTCTAAGGATGATTCCTTATTAAATATTTCAGTTTTATAATAAAGTCTGCACTGAGTTTGAAATCGGAAGTTGTTAACAAGTATCTACGATAAAAAGCAAAAGTATGAAAAAGATATTGCGAGGGGACTAAAATCACACCAGCCCTTGTTTCCCAGTTATCATGCAAATCATACAACAAAAGGTCTGGTTACTGGATGGCTCAGAAAATTAACAGTACCCTGGCGTTTTTGTCTTTGACCATTGTTTTGTGTTCAATCTAGGATGGTAATAGCTCCCCACTTGGCTAAAAAGAAATAACTTTGGTGGTTTCAGGCAAACACATGAATGTCCACATCATAAAATGTTAGCAGCTACCTGGCAAAGTGAGTTGAAAAGGAAAGCTAAGGCTTTGTCTGAACAGGGAAGCTGTGCTACTTATGTGAATTTAGTTAGTGAATTTAGTTAACATGATATTATTGTATGGATCTAATCATAATTGTATACTTATTTCTGTATTTAACCTCTACAGCTATAAGAGACTTTTGTGCTTATATAAATAGGTCTACTCTAGGGGCTGTGCCAACAAGATTTCACTGGTGAAAAGCACCAGCTTAGCCAACAAAAGAGTACAAATCTTGAGAGAGGATAATTGAGAGTAATAAATTAATAATTTCATCACCCTTAAGGCTATGAATACATGACTAAGTCTGTGCAAAACAAATTAGACATGGAGTATGCAGACCACCATTTTAAATATCTGTGATAGAGTTTATTAAGCATGAAAAATACTGCAGTATTTATGATCCTAATTCTGTAAAATCTGCACTACCTAGCCTTCCTGTTCTGTTATCTCCTTCTCCAGAGCCAAGCAGGTATTATCTTCATAGGCTGTCTGTTGTAACAGTGGAAGGGCTGTTAGGCAATCTTCTTCCTTCTGTCCAGAAGCCTCCTCAGCCTCCTTTCGAGCAAAAGCATTGCAATACTGCAATACTAACAATCTGCAGTAAATCTGGATCCAGAGGTCTGTGAGATGCAAAAGTAACTGGGTGCCTGCAAAGGCCTGTGCAAGGGCAAAGGGCCTTGAGGCTTTTAGATGGAAGAGGGTGTTCCCTGCCCCAGGTACTGAACCCTCAGCTACAAGACGCTTCCAGGGACAGGCAAGGCCAGTTTTGACTGGCAGACTGTGAAATAAGAAGCAGAAGAAATCATAGTCCTAGTACAGTCACTGACACCTCTACCCTCTTGATCAGAAGAGTAAATTGTGTCATGCAACTGTGCTTTTTTTAATATAGCACTAGGAAGGATTTAAGTGCTATCATGCATCTGTGACACACTAGCCTATTCATATGTGCATTTTTATTACATTGAACTGCAACATTGTTTTCTCAATATTGACTGGGAGGTGCTCCACATATTGCACAGGGAAAGGAGAGTCACAGGTGTAGTTTTATGTCATGTACTATGAAACTATGTCCTACTTTGTCATAGTACTTTCTTAGCAACGTACTAAGAGATTTGTGCTGAATGAGCTTGGAAACCCAGGGATCTGCCATGGGTAGGTAGTGCTTGTTACGAGGACTTCAGGGGATGTGCCTTTTCCCAGCAGCCAGCATGCAGACACTGTGACCTGTGAGGCACCTGTGGTTGTAGCTGCAGGAAGTCTGTGTATTTACAAGTTCTTTAAATGTTTGACAAAAACGTTTCTTTGTAAATGGATTGCAGTTCCCACTTCACACACACAGCGTAGCCTTTACCTCCCACAGAACATCCCATCTAAGGGTGCATAATCTTTGGATGCATCCAAACTGGCCTGGAAAGGCGAGGAAAGCATCATGTAGTATGCATGCCTTTTGTTGGTTTTGAGTTCAGATTACTGCTCTCTGCTCTCAAGTCATTCATTTACTTTCCTTGCCAGTTTGCCATCTACAAATAGAGTTAAATATAGAAACCTAATGAGGGGCTGACTGAAAATTTTGTACATTCCTGCATATTTTTGAATGTTGTATTTTCTAAATGTCATTAATTCCATACAAAACCTAAGATGTAAGTCAGAATAATGTCTGGCTGTGAAGGTGCTCTTGTTTTGAGAGTGCATTTGTGGCTGAGGTTTTTTTTTAGTTTGAGCTTGTTTTGAGCAATCCAGTTCACGTATTTAAACCTGTGTTCCCAGAGCTGTGAAGCATGAACAGTTGTATTTGCCTACTTTCTCACAGACAAGTGGCTAATAGTCATAAATTCTTAGAAAAATTAAAAGAATTGTGCATGGCAATAGTTTCAAAAAGGGGAATAGTATTCTGGATACCTAGCAATTTTGCTTTGTGGCTGTTCCAGGTTCTAAGTATGGATCCTATAACTTTCTCTGAATTTCATGGAAAGATTGACCTTGAAAACCAACAGTGTGTAAATTTTTTCCTTCATGTTTTACTGAGTTCTGAGAATGAGAAGGGGTATTTCAATTTTAAATACACATTTTCTGACGATGCTTTTCTTGTTTCATAGGAACTCTTCCAACTTCCTATTAATGTATATGCATATATAAACATATGCAATGTTTTTAGACAAGGGAGGCTGTTTTCAGGCCACAATGAATATGAAAATGCCATTATCAGACTCAAAGCAGTTAATCTTGAACTGACCTGTTTTCTGGATGGAACATTGATGTACAAAACTTCCCATTAAGATTAAGGTAAAGTCAAGTTCAGCCCAAGAACATAAAATGTGCTACTTATTAAGAGCTCCTTATTTCCCTGTGAAAGCCTTCAGTCATTCTTTTTCTACTAGTAGATCTCCTTTTGCCTGTTAGAGGTTTTCCAGTCAGATGCTCTGAGCCAAATACCTACTCTAACTTTTCACCACTTTGTGCCATGAATATTCTTGAATACTCATTCGTTTGAACGTGCTTCCTTTTAATGGATTAAAGAATAACATCTGTAGATATATATATTTTACATGAGCATGGCTTTTTAACATCACCTTAATTACTGTTTTTACTAGGATTCCTATTCTTAACACCTGTAGTGATCAACTGTGGTGAGTGGAGTTAGCAATACAATGCCATGAGCAAAGGTGGCAGGGTTAGAAACCGCAGCAGTCCTTAATCACTCACTGAAGAGTTTAAATCCTGTTTCATAAGGAATCAGGAAGTCCAAGACACCCAGAAATCCTCAGGAATTAAGATTTATAAGCTCAAAATTCCCTCTTGAGAAATGCAGTTAAGGACTCTGACACATGACTTCTGGCATACTTGGCTACAGTAGTGCAGTGCCCTCAGTCTTCCTCCTGCCCTTTTCCCATATGTCTCCCAGTGGTAGGGCTGGCAGAATGGAGCATCACAGTTCTAATTCACAATTAAAATTAAAAAATTAACTTAAAGATTAAAACTGTGCTTTTCAGTGTCAACTAGACAAGCTGAAATGTTCTATTTTAGGCCAGTAACAAACAGCTGGGGGCTGAGGCAGTAACATCTTAAACTGCTGCAGCTGTTTACTTGGTAAATATGGGCCAGGTTCCTCAAGTCAAATTTTATTTTTTCTTAAGAATATGTCAGTGCACTTTCCACTTATTAAATTTAGTGACCTAACTGCTCAAAATTAACTCATGTTTTTGTGTGCTTATGTCAACAGAGGAGCCAGACTGAACTTTTTGCTTTTTAAAGGGTAATTATTAGGACTTTCTAAAAAATCAGTTCCCATTAAAAGTGTAAGAGGTTGTCACCAGTAAGTCACTATTAATTTTGGAAGTTATATAGGAAACTATTTAAGTTATAGTTGGCAAATGTATCATAAACTCGTATTGGAAAATAGTTTGCCTGAATAGAAGTACTTCAGCAGAATCTGCCAAATTTCGTCAAACTTTGGCAGCGCACACGTTCTTACAGATTTCAGTATTTGCCTTAAAGGCTTTTCATTATGCCCATTTTCCTTATAGCTCTCCTGGTTGGCACCCTGCCTGGCAGATTTCTGCAGCTTGAGGCCTCAGGTTCTCCAGGCTCACAGAAGAGGTAGATGCCCTAGAGTGCAGGTTCTTAGTGCTTGGATGCTCAATCAAAACATTCAATTTCATGGGATTTGTAGATGTGCCTAGTGAGGCAGCAAAACAGTTTACACTTCTTATAATGTGTCCTGCACCCAAGCAAGCAAAGATTCAGGAAGAAGCACAGACAAATATTAGCTCACCCAGTAGAGCCTGATTTCATTATTCATTTGCTCCAGCTGCCAGGAATGAACTAAGCAAAGAGCAGGGCAAAACTCTGTAACCCATTCAGGTGTCAAATTTGTCACCACTGAAAAGTACCTGATCTACAAATACAGTTCCTCTGGCTTACATTTGATTTGGTTGAGCTCTTTCCATCTGGCACATGCACCATAAACCCTAGGAATATGAGACTTTTGGTTCAGATGGCATAGATCTGGTCATGAGGTAGAAGGTGGCCAGTGCAGTGTGTGACTGGGTGACTGGCCTCCTTTGCTGCTAGAATGAATTATAGTCTATCTTTTCAGAGAAACAAAGAAAAAAATTATCTCAGTGAAAGTGATAAGCTGAGCAAGGTTTGGGTGCTAAACTGCTACAAGGGCTGGGCTCTGGTTTATCTGCATGAAGCAGAACTTTTCCAAGATACCAACATTTTAGTAGACCTATCTGAATAATACTGCACCATAATGCATAGCTACTCAACTCTGATTTCTCCCCATGATTTAGGGACTGAAGTAGTATATGTGGGTTAACTTGCCTAGTGGTTCATTTTGAAAATTTCCTTTGGAGTTTTCTTTTTTTTTTTTTTTATTTTCTCCCTAATTTCACGGGAGGCCAAGTAGCTGTTCCCATTATTCCAGTAAGGATTTGGGTTTTTTTTCAGTTTATTATCCATTTCCACATCACCTCTGTGACTTCATTGTCCAGGTGTCCTGGTTTTGACACCACAACACCAGGATAAATTCAGGAGTGCAGAAGAGGTGTCGACTTATCTAATAATGTAAAATAAATAACCTGTTTTCTTTAACTTCTCAAAGAATAATAGACTGTTGCTGACACAAAAAAAAAAAAATCCAGACTGTTATTGCCTTGCCATGAGGCCAGGATTTACAAATTTCTAATCATCAGAGAGGTGAGACTTCAGGAAGGCTTTTCACTAGTGAGGTGTAGAATAAAAAAGGAGAAGGGGAAGGCAAAATATACAACTAGTTTTGGAGAAATCCTGTTGAGAACAAGGAGGTCTGGTGTAGAATCTGAGACACTGGGAAACAAGACCCACTGACAGGAATTCCCCTCCATAGGAATGTGTGTATAGATGGTCACACATGGCTCAGCAGCTGTGTGACAGTTGAGCTGCACAAGTTGCATTAAGTGCATGCTTTTGTCTTACCTTGTTTCCTGAGTTAGTTAAACTGCCTGGACAAGATATTGAATTAAGAAAGTGTATGTGAATGAATAAAAAAGATGGTAGAAGTGAAAATGGCAACATAAATCAGAAGTTCTAGCTTCCAAGTATGTATTGGCTACTTGTCTGCATTCACCAGCTGTTTTGACACAATCAACATGTCTATAGATGTATGATTATGTGTATACGTGCTTGATATGCAGATGATATGCAGTATCACATGAGAAAAGGAAAACTATCAATAGATCCTCAGGTCAATACTTATGTGCAGTGTAACCACTACTGGTTTTGTTTCCATGACACATGTGCAGGAACTGTTTGCCTAATGGAAAATGTAAAGTCCATGGAAATATTACTACAGAGCAGCCTACCATTCCTTTTTCCTGAGTAATATGAGCAAAGGAAAATCATGTAGGACAATATGATCCCAGATTTGCTTCAGTACATTTTGATGCCGATGTATCTGGAAGCGCAAGTTTCCGTTTAGGCTTTGAGTTAGGAATCAGTGAATTCATCTGTCTTCATTGGTCTGGCTGAGCTGCAAACAGTTCAGATTTCACAGTGCAACATTTTTGAACGGCAGCAGGGAAAATTTTAATTTATTATATTGGCTAATGGCAGATTCCTTTTTGAAAAGCAATGAATATTTGCACAGCAAGTTCTCTAAAGTGATGAAGTAAGCTTCAGTGCTCAAAAAAAAACAGGCACAGGGAGGAAAAAAGTACAATACACTCATAATAAAACAAGAGTTCCTCTGAAAGTATGTTTAGTGGCTAGTCAGAAAGTCTCTCAGAGTAGTAATTTATTTATACTTTTGTCTATGCTCTGTTGGCAAACATTTTATCAGAAGTGCTTCATGAAATTAAATATGTTTATCAACATAGATCTGTGCTTAGCAAACCCTTATGCATTCTAAGCATTGCTATGGTAGAAATACCAGATGATGGGGTTTAGTGCAAGTACTCAATGTCCTTCCTTCATTAAAAGTTGCACTGTTTTTAATTTTGTCACCCAGCTTCTTAAGACATGCTGTTGCGTGTTGCAAAGATGCTTGCTTTTTTAATCTCCTGACTAGCGTCCGTGCTTGAGAACAGAGTGCCAGAATGCTATTTGATATTATTGAGAATTTAACTGTGTTGTTGAAAATTACCTGTGCTCAAGTGTTGCTACACTAATTGTAAATTAAATCAAACCACTATTAAAATCCTGACTCACTTAAATTGGTCAGAATGAAAGCTGAGCACTCAACATCTGTTACTGGTTAATGTTGAGGAACGAGGCAACAAAATTAATGCACTTCTGTGAGGTCACAGCTCCTTACAAAGAGTCATGATAGCAGCATCTGAACAAAGTTTATATGATTCTAGTAATTCCCCTCAATTTCCTTTAGAAGAAACAGTTAATTTGGCTTGACTTCTGGAGCTGTTGAAGAACAGAATATAATCTTTACCAGTGAGTCCACCACTGCACCTTTAAGTGGACTTGCTTTTAAATATATACACACATACACTTTTACTGACAGAAATCTGATAATCAGCCTCAGATCATTTTTATGTTTATTTTCCAGCTGATTCAAGATTAAGGCTGAATGAAAAATAAAAAATTATTAGCCAAATTTAGCCTTGTAGGAATGTCCCAACTGAAAATACAGACAGCAGAGCATGGCAGAATAGTCAACACATTTGAACTCTACTCAACCACAACTGTTTCAGAACATGTTACAAGGCCAGTGTTATCAGAGAGCTTCCTTCAGCATCCAGCTCATGTCGAAAATGATTTCTTTTTTGGCAGTAGGAGCATCAGAAAGAGGTGGGAGGAGATGAGTAATTTTTTCACAATACTTTCTAATTTTCTATAAAATACTTCTTTCCCCCTTTTCCATTTGAATAAAAGAGTTTTTTCTTAATTTATTTTACATTACACACTGTCTGACCAGTAGGGGTGCAAAATACCTAAGAAAAATTCTGATGGCTTTGGTAATGTTATGTATCTGGCATAGATTTCTTCTGGACAAAGCTCTTCATCGATGGAAGAATGGATTTACCTATTGAAAAGCTGATAATTGTAACATAAAGCCAAGATTTGATCAGTAGAGGTTTACCATAAGTTGTTATTAGGTCTTATTATTGCATACTTCTGCCTTTCATCCCGTGTATCTTTTCTTTCTTAACCTCAGTCTTCAAAACCCATATATCAACTGGGATTTTTTTTCCGAGACAGCCTGTGGCATAATTTTCACTTGTCACTGAGTTATTCTGGAACATGTTTTACAGTGCAGCCTGAACCCCTCTCAGAGTTAAACTAATATTAAGTAATACTAAGTAATAATTAGAAATGAAAATTAGCATCTTTAAACTTTTCAGGAGAGATCCATATTACCCTGTCAGTTCAATGGAAGTCAGTGGAAAAGCAGAAGCAGCACACTTCTCTAAGAACTAAATCCCCATTAACATGTCCTCAACTCCCCCACTGCCCCAGTAAGTTTCAAAACTGATTGAACTTGTGATATAAAATCAGTCCATGTAGGTTCTTACAAATTATGTTTTATAGGTATGCAGGTTAGCTGGTGGCATTTTCCTACCTGCCTCTACACAGGCTTCTTAAAGCTGAGCTAAATTACTCCACCTACTCCTGATGCCATTCCAGGGATATTTTAAACAGAAAGATTAACCAAATTAACCCATTTTAACAAGATTTTTATTGAAAACATACACAAAGTCAACAAGTTATTTAGCTTCTGAATGTACATTTTAGAGAATATTCATATTAGAGAAGAATATTTTAAGAAAAGGAGAAATACAACAGACATGCTGCAGTTTACATTACTAAGGCATTTAGGCTTAAAAGCAAATTATACTGTGTGCATGTGTGTGTGTGTAACTACATACACAAACACATAAACATATACACACAAGATCTGATTTGAAACTGTACAGTGCTATGCAATTAATTATATTTTGCTTCTTCTATTTTTCCAACACTAAATAAAGCTTTTATCCAAAGTAGAAGTTGTTCACAGAACAGCAGTTATAATCTACTCTTCAAGAGTTTGCTTACAATACTAACGATGCACAAAAAAAAACCCAGATCCTCATGGGAAAGTTCTCTCTTACCAAAATGAGTCTCAAGTAAGAAAAACACTAGCTTGCAAAGGCACCGTGGAGACAGGTTTTAATACATTAAATACAACATGAATCATTCACAATAACAAGTTTAGTGTTTCTGGGAACTTTTGTAAATACAACACAGTTGGTCACACAAAAATGTTTCTGTTGATTTGTCTTGGCAACTCAGATACATCAACAGTGTAACAGCATAACAGCTTTGTTCCCATCTGACAGAAAATAATGGCAGTTCTGCAAGGCAAACGTTAAACCTGACCGTATGTATTTATTAATTCCACAGTGTTTTGACAGATTAGAGGGGATACAACTTAAAGGATGCTGACACGCTCGCTGAGGGCTTTCATTTCTGTTTCTTCTAGCTTGGTGTTTTCATTATGGTTAGCATGTAGACTGATAAGGTGTGCTGGATAGCGCAAACCATGTTCTCCTGAATACTGTTCCCATCGTGAGTCATCACTTTCATGGGTGATGTAACGCTCCCCCATTTTACATTCAAGTTCCCTTAAATCTAACCAGGTTTGATAGTCCTGAAACAGAGTAACAGCAATAGTTTTAAATTTCCTGAAATAAATTATGTTCCCCGCTACTATAGATTATGCAAAGTGCTATTAACTCTGCAATCTAAAGGTCACACATTCTTATTACTCCAGAATGAAAAAAAGTCTTACAATTAATAAATATGAAATCTGCCTATAGAGATATGTTTTCTCAATCTAGAGGATTGTTCGATAACTTAATTTTATTAACCTCTGTCTTAAGTGTATATATTATATATGGAGATGTTACTGGTAGTTTTGCAAAATGTATGGATAGTTTACAGATTTCCATAATATCTAAGTGAGACAGGGTTGTAAAACAATTCCTGACACTAGTCACAAGGTGAATGAGGAAGAAGAAATATCTATATCATGCATGTATATCCTAGTGATCTTTATCAAATAGTGAAGACAGTTGATCTCTATCGGAATGCGAACTTAGCCTGAGCTAGAAAAGATCTGCTTTTCCAAATTTAGGCAATTACTGTCATGCTCAAAGAGACTTATTAATCTAAACATCAAGGTACTTTGGAAATCTGAGATAGTCAACAGTAAAGCTGGAAACTGGTTTGGTTCTCGCACTGTTTAGACCATCATGCTCTGCAGCCTGTCATCTGCCTAAAGTATATCTTGAGTTTAATATTTAATTTCTTATTCCCACCCAAAGTGTAAATGAAGCTGTAGTAATAAAGTCAATCCTAGCCCCATGCAGACTAGCCTCAGCTCACAATCCTGAATCCATTTTGCTTTTTTAATCCTTCTCCCTGTCTCAACCTAAGACATAACCCTTGTCACCTAGCCAAAGCACCAGAAAGCCCCCACACTGTAAATGCATTAAAGCCTTCATTCTCAGTATCTCCCATGGTTTGGCCTACTTCAAGCACATCCTTTCAGAATTCACCTCTACTTGCACCACTGTTATCTTTCCTTCGCCCACACTATTGGTCTCTTGGGGAAAAAGGACTCATCCATGGTGCTAGAGCTGATGCAGTACTGCCTCACCTTAGCTTACCCCCACTCACTACTGCATGGTGGCAAAAGTGGATGTACAAAGGTGAAGGACTCTGTCCCATCATGACAGACAGCCAGCACCCTTGCTGCAGATCTTAGCCCAGATCACCTCTCAAGTCTCCAAAGTCTTAGACAAATACATTCTGCAATCATTGTCACGGAGAAGAGTAGGAAAAAGACTAGAGAGTGACAAGAAAACTAGGAGTTAAAAAGCAAGCCCAGAAAGAATGTCCCTGGGGAAGGCAGGTTGCAGGGTGGCAGGCTGCAGCCCTTTTCCTCTATACCAGCAGGTCATAAGGTACTGGAGCAGGACTCAGTTTTCAGTTTGGATAAAGATTCCTTTGGGATTGTGGACTATGCATCTTACCTGTGCTATGCCTTTGACACAATTACTTTCCCAGATGTGAATCCTTTGGGAGATCCCATGGGCTGATGTCCCAGCCTGGCCTCAGCCTGTCCCCATCCCCAGGGAGGGGTCCAAAGTGGCCAGGCCTGGGCCACTCCGCAGGCAGCCTACCCTGCTCCCTGGCTGGGGGCAGTGGAACAGGTTCTGGCTGCTCACTACACTGGTTCTAGCTTAGGTCTTTAACTTGCAGTGATTTGGCTGCTGTCAGAACCAAAAAATTAACATATGAGGAGTAGAAGACAGTGGCTGCTAGCATCTCAAAAATTCCTAACATTTCAGTTTTTAATGGGAAGCATCAACTGGAGGTGGCTAATGAATTTTCCTAGAAAGCATACAACTTCACTATTTCTTCTGATGACTGTGAAGTGAAAGCCCATTGATTAGTTTTAATAAGAAGTGAATTGGGGTGGACTCCAGGCAACAAGATAATGTACATCAAATGACTATAAGAGGGTTTTTTTATACATCATGTGTTCAGTGGACAAACAAGATAAAAAAATTTTTGTGGTGTATTCTGAAAATATGAGAGAGTTTAGTATTGAAATCTAATACTTCAGAAATTAATGAGAATCTGTAGGTAAATTGGTGAAGGAAGATAAGGTCCTCAGGATCTGAAAACATCTTCAGGTCTGCAGATTTGCTTAGATTCTACTATGCTTAAAGAGGAAATTGTTTACATACTTAGAAACTAAATGCATAACAAAAAACATGGATTTGTAGCAATACCTGTAACCACGGGTGACTTAATGTTTTGTCCACACTGTAGCGCTTTCTCATTTTCACTTGCAACAAATTATTTATGAGATCAATAGCTGAAAATAAATAATATTGAAAAATGTCAGTTTAAATATGTATTTTTTAACAAGGAAATGCAAACCAGAGATAAAGAGACATGGCAGATGTAAAAGGAGGACAGTTATCCCTTCTTATTCCAGTCTTTTACAAACTGCAGTCAGCAGTTACCTGCTAGCTAGCATAGTCTACCCCTGTGTGTTCATTTGAAGGCACACAGCAAAGACTGAGGATAATTTTCACTAAGTTCCTGTTCAAATGAAAAAGATCTCATGTAAGTGAGGACTACAGTATTCTTCAAGTACCACAGTAAACACATCTGTATATATTTTTCTGAGGCTCTCAGTATCATTTTAAGGTGACTGACAGCAGCACCTTCCCAGGCAAGGAATCAGGTTTTGAAGTCACTAAATCTTGCAACACTAAGCTTTTGAACAGAGGATTGCTTCTACCTGCCAGTCAGCAGTATGGTGTTTGATAAAAGCAAGCGGGCTTCTTTACAAATTTCTTATTTTCTGTATTTTTGAAGGAGTCAATGATTCTCTGGGGTTACAGGTATGTCCTCAGCGGTACCTGAAGGGAAGAGTTCCATGAGTCCATGACCAGTGCATGGAACTGTACCAAGTGACCTGTTTGGAAAAATCTCTGGGATGCTGCTAAGCTTTGACAGCACCTACTAAAACCTTCTTTTTTTTCCTTTTTTTTTTTTTTTTAAGTAAGAAAGAAAAAAGTGCACTGTGAAAGATTAAATTCTATTCTAGGTGGTGTTAAACGTTCGGCATGTGGAAGCTTATTGGTTTAGAATAATTGACTGGCCACT